TAATAATAATAATAATAACAATAATAATAATAATAATAATAATGAAATATAAAAAACTACAAAAATGAAAAACAAAATCAAAGTGAGAAATGCTATATGTATGTTGTGTTGTCAAGTAAAAAAAACGATTGAGACCCTGCAATTGTGTGTAAATGAGGCAGAAAGTCAGATTAGCAACCTGGGACTTGGTCACAATATTTGTGATGCCATATAGGAGCAGGGTCTACCATTAGACAACACATTATGCTTCCAATAGCTTCCCAGGCAGTAGTACCTCCCTGTTTGATAGCTGCCTACTACCTACAATGATAAAATAAAACTAAAAGAGTTCTAAAGTAACAAATAAATAGAAATATGTCACTGTTTAGGTGTTATATTTTAAATTATTATTATTGTTTCATGATTTATTTAAATTTTTACTAGAATATTCAACACCCAATATGAAGCTCATTTGAGCACTACCCGTTTGACCTAGCTCAGACGCTACCTGACATAGCTTGGAGAAGGACGTGCCCTAAGTGCTCATGTTAGTGACCATAGGAAATGGCCGCCGTGGATCGTTGTGTTGTGCGGGAAGAGGGACAGTGTGTGAGGAATGACGACCCCCTGGCCACTCTGTTAAGTCAGCTGGAGCAGTTGAGGAGAGAGATAGACATTTTAAAGGGGGAGAATGTGGTCCTCAGGACTGAACTCCTTCAGGTAAGCAAAGGAGGGTCAGGAGGAGCAGGCGTGGAGCGTGGTTGTCTCCAAGGGGACTAGGGTCAGACAGGAAAGTTGACCAGGGTGTGGAGTGCAGTAACCCCTACCAAGTGTTGGAGGAAGCTGGCGAGGAAGAGAAGAGGCAGGACGAGGAAGGACGGTGTGGTGCCAGGAGAGAAAAGGCCAGTTGTTCAGACCCTGCCCAGTGGTAAGGTCGTGGTAGTTGGGGACAGCCAGGTGAGGTTCTTAGATAGGACTTTTTGTGCAAGAGATGGGAAATGTAGGACTAGGGTGTGTTTTCCTGGGGCTGGGATAGGGCATGTAGCTGAGAGGATAGATGGGGTTCTGTCAGGGGAGGGTACCAAGCCAGTAGTGTGTCTTAGTGTAGGAGGTAACAACATAGGAAAGGTTAGGAGTGAGGAACTTTTCAAGAGGTATAGGGAGGCGCTGGAGAAGGTTAGAGATAGGGGAAGGATCCTGATAGTATGTGGTGTCTTGCCTAGAAGAAGAGGTAATAATAATAATAATAATAATAATAATAATAATAATAATAATAATAATAAACGGTTTATTAATAGAGTTGCAGCCGGTGGCTGAAAATATACAAACTTACATGTGATTTAGACATGATGATATACGTTCAATACATTTACAGGGCCGTACAGTACATAAATCAGGAGTTGTTTATTATTTTAACAATAGATGGGATGGTGCTATTCTAATATCTATCGATGCGGGCTCTTATGGTGATGTATGGTAGTCAAGGGCAGTTGGTGTCAACGGCTGTCTTGACAGATATTGCAAGTCAATATCAGTCCCATTCATTGACAACTGGAACAACTTCTATGGCAGAAGGGACCGTTATGCTAGTGATAGGGTGCATCTGTCTAGGGATGGGGTGGTAACCCTGGCTGGGAATTATGACAAAACTAAATTAGGCAGGGAGTTAAAACCTAAACGCAACAAAGAGAGGAATCAGAACACAACTAACTTAAATGTCTACTACGCAAACAGTCTAAGTACGAGAAACAAAATGGATTAAATCAGGGCATTGGTATGTACAGAAAAAATCGATATACAGTAGAAGTCCAAAAATCCGGACTGCTTGGGGATTGGGTCGGTTCGGATTTTCAGATTTTCCGGATTCTCAGGCAGTACTTTTAAAATTCAAATTTAAGGAGGAATAAAGAAGAGATGAACAGGTGCATTTTGATAGTTTATTCATCAGCAAATATAGCATGCTTCATTTATCAAAACGAACAGTTTTAAAGAAAAAGCTGTGAATTCTAGAATTTTATTCTTTGCCTTTTTTATATCATAAATTGTAGACTTTCCAATGTCGAATGTTTCCATTGGAATAGTATTGCTCACACCAGTTAGAATTTCAGGGCAGCCGCAAGGAAAATTCCACTAAAGACCCAGATTTCAGAAGGGCAAACTTTGATAGTTTGAAGAGGCAGCTGAGAGAAGGGGTATCACACTTGGGGGTGAATTACATGACCTCACATGAGGTGTCCTCACACAATGTACCCACAGAGGGCAACCTCACCTTACCTGGAGACCTCACGGTTGAGGATGACCTGATAACGAGATCTCAGGTTGACGAGTTCTACAATAATTTAAATAATGAGTTACTTAACACACAAAGGCAGAACATACCATACAGAAAACTCAGATTAAACAACAATGACCCTAAATGGATAAATAATTATTTAAAGAACATTATTTAACAAAGGAAGGCTATAGGTAGGAGATTAAATTGTGGTGAAGTTTATCTCCGAGATTATTATAAGGTATTGGCCGGTAGGGTTAAGACGGAGATAAGAAAAGCAAAGGGGAATAATGAACTGAAGGTAGCAAGGGAGGTGAAGTCAAACCCCAAGGGATTACATCAATTGTATCAAACTAAAACACAAGAAAGATTGGACCAATTCAGTCGGATACCGGCGAGCTAACTGATAACGATGGAGAAATGATCAACAATCTGAATAAATATTTTTCAACAGTTTTCACCACCGAAAAGTTAAACATGATACCCGAGGCACCGACTCTATACAGAGATAGTGTAGAAAATAAATTAAGCGAGATAGTAGTGACTCGTAACGATGTTAGTAAGCAAATAGACAAACTAAAGCCTAATAAGTCACCAGGTCCCGATGAGATATTTGCCAGTGTATTAAAGGAATGTAAGGAAGAGCTTAGTATGCCCTTAGCAAAGTTGTTTAACATGTCCTTAAAAACAGGTGTAGTACCAGAATCCTGGAGGATAGCAAATGTAATACCGATTTTCAAGAAGGGAGATAGATCACTATCCTCTAACTACCGTCCAATTAGTCTAACATCAAATGTAGACAAATTACTGGAAGCAATAATTTCAAACTATTCGAAATCACCTGGAGAAGCACAAGTTGATCAAATATTCCCAACATGGCATCACAAGCGAGCATTCATGTCTAACTAATCTATTAACATTCTTTTCATCTGTTTTCGAATCAGTGGACGAGGGGCACAATTATGATGTGGTATGTCTCGACTTTAGCAAAGCCTTCGACCACAAAAGACTAATAAGAAAAGTGGAGGCTCATGGCATTAAAGGAGATATTCTAAAATGGATTAGGACATGGTTACAGGACAGGAAACAGTGAGTGAGCATTAACGGCACTAAATCCAATTGGAGCAACGTCACTAGTGGAGTTCCCCAAGGCTCGGTACTTGGACCATTATTATTTATTATATACATAAACGACATAGATATCGGCGTAGACAGCAACTTAAGCAAATTTGCTGATGACACTAAAATAGGGCGTGTAATTAAATCTGACGAGGACTCCACAAAACTACAGGAAGATCTAAACAAATTTTTCGAATGGTCTGAAAAATGGCAGATAAAATTCAATGTGAACAAATGTAAAGTACTCAGTATATGAGATGTAAACAGGGAAACCAGTTACCAGATGAACAACGATGTCATTGAGAAACCCGACTGTGAGAGAGATTTAGGAGTAATGATAAGTAGGAATCTTAAGCCAAGTAAACAATGTGTTTTTGCTCGTAACAAGGCTAATAAAGTACTTGGGTTCATACTACCACCTGAGGTCCCTAGCCCTAGAATTACTGTCCGACACCACAACCGCATCCAGCCCATACGTGCACGAACTGATCGCTATAAGAACAGCCCAGTCCCAAGCATTGTAAAAATTATCAGTAACTTGTAATAAACCAGTGTATTCACTCCCAGTAAATCCTACTTCTTGCACTGTCACTATGTTGAAATGCCCTGTAGTTTAAGCTTTTCCCCATCTAGTTATTATATATCTTATTTGTATCACTTATGTTACTTGTATATTATTTGTAAATCGAAACCCATTCCCCAATTATGTAACTTTATATTTTCAGCCTTCTGGCTGCGATGCTCTTTCAATAAACCGTTAATTATTATTATTATTATTATTATTATTATTATCATTATTATTATTATTATTATTATTAGTTATAAGACTAGCGAAGTCATCTTAAGATTATATCTTGCACTTGTGAGACCTCACCTGGATTACGCAGTTCAGTTCTGGTCACCGTATTACAGAATGGATATAGAATCCTTGGAAAGAATCCAGAGGAGAATGACAAGACTAATCCCGGGCATTAGGAACCTTGAGCACAGAGACAGGTTAAGGCATCATAATTTGCACTCCCTCGAGAGACGTAGAGCGAGGGGCGACATGATAGAGGTGTATAAATGGAAGTCAGGGCTAAACAAAGGGGACATTACAAAGGTACTCAAACTATCCAACCAGGAGCGAACTCGTAACAATGGTTTTAAATTAAACAAATTTAGATTTAGGCGTGAAATAGGTAAACACCGGTTTGGAAACAGAGTAGTGGATGAATGGAACAAGTTACCAAATATCATCATTAACTCGAATACGCTGAATTGCTTCAAACATAGGTTGGATGCTCATATGAGCAATAGGGGTTGGGTGTAAACGGGACTGCCCAGTATGGGCCAATAGGCCCGCTGCAGTTTCCTCCATTCTTATGTTCTTATGCGGCTAACAACCAGGCCGATCATTGGCAAAGATGATAATTGCTCAGACTGCATATCAACGTGACTTTGTGGTTTGTCATTTAATTTTCCAGATCATTCCTGTTTGTCTTATTAAACAATTTAATTCCCATTACAAAAGCATTAAAACGAATATTCAGTAAATAACTAGCGCAAATATAGTCCAACGCTATAGGAGTGGCAAAGTGAAAAATTACTCTTCACCATAACCACACAATTTAAAGATAATCATGCTTACCTTTTTTTCTAAACACTGTTTAAATAGTTCGTGACAAGTTTCGTTGTTCTCGCCAAGTTGAATGATTTGCCTACGAAATATACTATCCTTGTGAATGGCCATGGTTGTCCTCGGCCACCACCACGCACCAGCGTGACAACACTTGTAAACAGAACACGTGCACGTTCACACTCCTCAACCAACGACAGACGACTACCATAATATATTAATACGTTTTATATTTAAATTACTTAATTATATTTATGAAACTTAGTAAAAATTATATTTTTTTATTATCATGAAGATTGTTAAAAAATGGAGAATACCGGAAATTTGAAAATAATTATTATTATTGCTCTCAATTATTTTTAAATTGTGTTGTTTTTACACATGTTGAATCAGTGTCAACTCGTATGACTATTTACTTAATAAATGAATATTCTATCTATCTACCTATATGCTTATCTATAGTTTTATCAACCTATTGGTGGTACAGCAGTAACGAGCACAACTCTCTCCACTATGTCAAGGGTTCGAGCCTCGGCCCGGACACACGTGAGAAGGGTGTTATCCAGTGTGGCCCTACCAAACACCACAGGTTTCCAGGTCCCCGGTTTCCTCCTGTACTAACACTGTAAGGCTGATAAGCTGATAAGTGGCATATATAATTACATCAATTGGCGTTTAACCATCTCAGCTAAATAGATTTACTTCGGTAATGAAATTCTAATATATAATGTATATATATTGATTATTAATTTTTTAAACATAATTTTTTATCCAACTTTTTTGAAGTCATAAATTCTTCTGTATTGTCATCACCCTGTAAATGACTAAAATTGAGTAATGTTACTGAAGTCACACGACATACCTGCGAACCATTTTATATTTCAGACTTAGATCAAACCTGATCTAGGCTAACTGAAACTATTCTACAATATACAGATTATGTAATATTATATTAGATTTGGTTTCTTCTTGGTAGCTGAAAATATATAATTGAACGATCTGTTCGTAATTCAATTTAACATACTATACAGAAATCTTCAGCGGCTCAAAATATATATTTTTTAATTTATCTCAAGCTTGTTTTTTTTCATAAAAAAGTAGTTATGAGCAGACTATACTTATTCACAATTTCAAAATTCTACCGTCTAATATGATAATTGCATATCTGTGAGTATAATTTGTGAAATTCCCTAGATTAGCTTCAACTAGGGAATTTTTTGTGATTATACCTATGTATTTTCCTAAATTGTACCACGGTGATTTTTTCATAAAAAAATAATAAAAAAATATTTAATGAAATTTTCTTAAATTGACATTATGTATTACCGGTAACAATAATAGCTATCTACAAAACAATTTCCCCTAGCCAACCTGAGGTTATATAGCAGTAGCCAAGGAAAGTATATAGGACATGCATCTTAAGATCCCATATTGCGCTCGTCTGGCCACTAGATGGCACTGATTAGATGGCGGGAAATATTGTGTCGGCTGTTTGTTTTAGACTGGCCACTGGGCATGGTGAAATAGTGACTGGTAATGCTTATTATTTTTACTTTTAACCTCTTATGACTCCAATGTATGTGAACCACTGACCCATATATACTGCTAATGAATATGACGTATTTCCTTCTTTGTGTACGAACCTCTGTCCTTCATTGCAGTGAACAGTGGCATTACCCACATGAACCTGACCTATATATACTGTAGTGTCAATGAATATGATGCATTATTTGTGTACGAATCTCTGTCCTATATGGCAGTGAAGAGTGACATTACCCACATAAATCTGACACACACACATATATATATATATATATATATATATATATATATATATATATATATATATATATATATATATATATATATATATACTGAATGAATATGATGCATCTCTTTGTCAATGAATATGATGCATCTCTTTGTGTACGAACCTCTGTCCTGCATGGTAGTGAACAGTGACATTACCCACATGAATCTGACCTCTATACATATATAGCTGTTAATGAATATGATGTATTTCTTTGTGTATGAACCTCTGTCCTGCGTGGCAGTGAGAAGTGATACCACCCTTAGTGTCAAGACCTGACCAAATTACTCAGAATAGCCAAACTGTACTACAAGCTTTGCCAATAAATTTGTTAAACTAAAACTTCACCACTGATCGCCTCGTTAGCCGCTTGGGCGATCAGTCACGTCTCAGTTGGCAAGTACTGGGCGCGCACTGACTCCTGAATGTATCTGAACCTGCTCCAGAGCTTGTCAAGTCTGGTCTTGAAAGAGCTCTCACTCGATGCAGTCATAACACTCTCTGGCAGATTGTTTCAACAGTTCATAACTCTCACTCCGAAAAAGTTACCCCTCTTAGTTTTCTGGACTTGCGGCTTCAATCTTGAGCTGTGACCCATTGAAAATATGGTAGCACAGCTTATTGACAAAGGTATCAGTAATCATTCTCATGTTCCAACTCAATTTCCTTAGATAATTGATCCTAGAAAGTTCATCATTCCAGATGTATAACTTGGCTGAGAAACACTAAAACACTACATCAACTAAATACATCTCATGTTGTCTGTGGGTGATCACTGCTCAGTTTACCAGTATTCCTTAACAAAAGCAATACTAATTATTATTTGATACAGAAGTTGATACGATGATGAGTAATCTTTAACCAATGTTTAACAGATGGTCTATCAGATGGTGGTGATGGACATGCTGCTAATGGTAAATGTATTTATACTCACTTTTTTGTTGATACATTAAGCAGGTTAATTTAAAGGGAAGTGTACTTGACTATTTGTTTATACAGGTATTAGAATGTACAATGAAGGGCTTAAAACTCCCAGTAAAAATAGTCATCTTGACTAGATTTATTCCCAGCATACTTCAGATATCAAAAGTATGAACATGAATTAACCCAATAATTTAGCAATAAATAAACAAATACCTGTTACAAGTGAATATTTTCATTTAGAGAATGCTAAATATTTAAATTTCACTGCAGTACACATACCACTTAATATGTCCACCAGTACAATGTAGAAATTTATGACTTGGACATCCAACAATACTGTACTGCCCTAATCTTATGCAGCATGTTGTTGTACTATTGTAGTGGATTCCTCCCCTACAACCGCCGTTGTCGCTGACTCGCCGACCCTCGAATTCCCCAGCCTGCGCCTCGTGGTCAAGGTCGGCAACCAGCGCCGCCTAACATAACTGAGGTCAACTATCAAGCCACGCCTACCTTCACTATATAAGACCTCACCTCGTGGTGACCTCTCTCTTTCTACCTACAGCCACCAGCAAGCAACACCTCCCCCTCCTCCGCTCCTGCCTGGCGATCCCGCTCCCGCCGGCGACCATGGCGACCCACAAGCTGGTCCTTCTCCGGGCACACTCACCAACTAGCTCTCCCTACATCACGCTTGGACCCACGCTGCCACCCCCCAGCACCCATGGTAGGTATCTACCTACCTTGCTAACACCAAGCTGCATTGCACATCCAATACAATATGTATACAGAGAGCACATTGTGAGTTTCCTTTCTCCATCCCATCCTGAGTGTGAACCAACATCTCATAACCTCACACTATATGCTTGCCTTTCGCAATTTTGTTTTGCATGGCTACTTTTTGCTTTTGCATATACTTACTGTGTAAAGTAGTAGTTATTTTCCTCAGTAAGTGATGCATGAATGCTTTTTTTTTGAGATGTGTATTAGTAATTGTTGTGCACTATTCATGTTATGCTTTAATTATTGCTGCTTCTGGTTGTCATGAGTATGCTTATATTTTGCATGTACAGTATGCCTTTTTAATTTGATGATGTTTATGTTCTCTGTAAATGGTTCTTACATTTGCTGCCTGAACTGATAAAAAATATGTAACAAGTCAATATGATTATTAGACAATAAAGGTAGCATAGCTATTCAATTTAATGAAATTAATTATAGTGTAGCGTACTGTATGTGGCCAGTTGTCAAATTTCTCTGTTTGTCTATCTTCTCTTTGATAGGCTCACATACATACGTACACGTAGGAGAACTCGCACTAAGTGCAGTGCTAGGGAGTTGCTGTGTGGTGAGGAGTTGCTGAGAGGTCTTGTTGGTTGAGGAGCTTGTTGAGAGGTCTTGCTGGTTCTGGCGAGTGGAGTAGAACGATGTCCACGCTTGCTTGCTTAAATGCTAGTGACAGGGGGGAAGGAGGTTCAGGGGAAGGATAAAGGGAGGATTGAAGTGAATTTTAGAAGGAGAGAACAGGTGCAGTGGCTAACACCGCTTGCGTGAGGGGGTAGGTAATGTACCCAGATGGTTGGGTGGTGTAACAATCACAATCAGGACGAGGCAGAGGGGGGTGGGGCCGGGAGTCATATCGGGCAGGCAAAGGGCATACGCGGGTGCTCTGGTTGTCGTCTTAGCTCAGGCAGTGTTGGCAAAGCGGAGGAAGAACCGCCCCGCCACGGCGGTGGCGCAAGCAGAGAAGCGCAGGTGGACAGACGCACAGGCACCCACGGTCAAAGAAACAAGGAAGGGGAAAATGGAAATGTAACTAGTCGTAGGGTTGTTTGGAGAAAGATGAAGGCAAAGTCTTTGAGCTATGTTAAAGAGGAACGGAGCGAGTTGGAGGAAGAGTTTTGAATCTTTGAGCTTGAAATGTCAAAGTATTCGTAGTAAGGAAGGATGAGCGTATCGTAGGAGAGTTTTTAGTAATAGCAGGAGACAGATTTGAGCTTTTTTGTCAAATTATGAACGGAGATGAGAATGAGATATAGGTTGATTGGTTTCAATTTTGAGTTAGGTCGATTTTATTGAGAGTGGATGTCACAGAGGTTGGGTATGTTTGATTTGGTTCTAGAAAGTTGTAGTATTTATGTAAGGCTTTGTCTGGGGGGGATTGTTGTGTTTGGAGATTGGTTGTGGGGGGGAGTTGTATTTGGGGATTGGTTGGGGGTGAAGGTGGTATGTTGATTTGTGCTGAAATAGGATTGCTTAGGGGGGGGGGGTGGTTGTTGTGGGTTACAGGACAAAATCCCAGTGGACAAAATCCCAGCGGACAAAATCCCAGTCTTGTAAATAAAAAAAGTCTCATATTTAAAAAAAAATTCAACATTCAAAATTCGAGTCTCATAAATAAAATAAAATAAATAAAATAAAATTCAGTCTCATATATATAAAAAGAAA